GCATGTGTAATCCCAGCACTCTGGGAGCCTGAGGCAGGAGGATTGCTGTGAGTTCAAGACCAGCCTGGGCTACATAGTGAGTTCCAGGTCAGTCTCCACTACATAGTGAGACTCTGTCTCAAAAAACAAACAAAAAAACAAAAGATGGAAATAATAGTAGCTTCATAGGTTTATGTCAAGGCAGAAAAAGTACTAGCCATATAATAAGCATTTAATACCCTTGAGCTATTCATTCATGCAGAAAAGAAAAACAACTGGCTATATTTCCTATTTGTATTATCCTAGGAAGTGAAGCATAATAAAACTATACATATACATGTACATATACATACTTTGAGGACCATTAGAATCAGTTAGGATTTGGTTTTGCTACATGAAATAAATGAAATACACACACATACACACACACACACACACACACACACACACCCCTCAGAAATCTGGGAAAACAAATTAATTTCTCATGCATATAAAGTAAGTTATAAAAAAGCAGAGAGCCCTGGCTGCTGTCATGGGGACATGATTATGTGGATCCCAACTCCTTTCATTGTACTGCTCATCCCTCCTTCCCAATCTGCCTCTGATCCCGGAAGGCTGCTTGACTATTCCCACCTGATGCCCTTTTCCAGTGGTAAGGAAGAAGAATATGCAAAATGGGCCTGCCATTTACCCTTTCAAATTGCTTGTCAGCTTATCCAATGCTTCCGTTAACATTACACTGTCCACATCTTGGTCTCATCATCATCTAGCTACCAAGAGACTAGAAACTAGACTTTATTCCAGGTGATCGTGTAACCACTAATAATTGGAGGTTCTAGAACAAACAATGGGTATTAAGGAGGAAAACAGCATTCCCTAACAAACTAGCCCTGAGACAGAACCCAATGACACTATTCAAAGATTTGAAGACAACTTGAGGATATATTTATTTATTTGCTTGTCTGTTTAGGCACACTTGCCAATGATGTTTTTTAACTGTGTTTTTAAAAAATCATAAAAAGTGGATCATGTCCTTAGCCCTCTTAGAAATGCTTGGCAGAGGGTATTTCCCATTATGATCTTTGTGGCCTAAAGGAGAAGTAAGAGACTTGGAGAAGATGTCAAAGAAAAACCACCAGGATGACTAATAGCTAAAAAACAATCAGCATTCAGGAATAGAAATGAATCAGCCGAGGGAATAGTGGCTAGAAGGTGACTAAATAATGATCTCTTGCTATGCAAGTGACTCTGACACAGAGGGAGGAGAAAGAAGGAAGGGGAGGATCCATTGTTCATCTCCACTAGGAATCAAGAGGAGGAAAAGGGAGACAAAAGTGACTTCTGACGTGGAAAGACAACTGTGCTGGTGGGGATAGCAGTCAAAACACAAGTATTCCATGAGGGAAACTGAAGCATGGGAAAGGCACTCATACGTGTTCCCATTGTTCATCCTTCTTTTACTTGTGCCCTGTCTCTCCAGTCACCCAAGTACTGCCTTAGAGAGGAGTGTATACAACCACTTCAGAATTCAGAAACATTCGTTGATATGGAATAACTGTAGAGTTTAGAGAAGAGATGCTATTTCACTTTGAAAGATAAGTTCTGTTTACCTACAGAAAATAATAGCTATAATATCCGTATGTTACAGAGAAGATCTTACAAATAGAGAAAAGAATGTATTGCTTATATTTTAAGTTTTTTTTTTAATTATAAAACTGATACAGTGGCTTTCCAGTCAGGATAGCACAGTAAAATGCATTTCTGCTGCAAACATTAAGCAATACTAAGCAAAATATACAAAGTGCCATAATTTGAATGTGGTTTGTCCCCACCAAATATCATGTGTATAATTCCCTAATGTGATGGTACTGAAGTGGTGGGTCTTTAAGGGAGACATTAGGTATTGGGGACACTGCCTTTAAAGGATTAATGCCCATCTTGTGGAAGTGAGTTATGTCTCCTAGGACTAAACTGGTTACTTCTAGAATGGATTGTTGTTACAAAGTGAGTTTAGCTTTTGTGATTGGCTTTCTTGCTTCCTCTCATGCCATGTGATCTCTTTTATGTTCATATCATGTGACGCCATGTGATGTGTTAAGATGTACCAGAGGTTGCCTAGATGAGGCTACCGAAACTTGGATTTCAGTTTCCAAAACAGGGAGCTAAACAACTTTTCTTTGTAAAATAATCAGCCTCAGGTACTTTGTTTTATGAAACAGCTAAGGCACAAAAAGAAAACAAAAAAAAGATATAGAATGACTAAGAGATGAGGACCATAAACAGCAGAAACAAAGTTGAATGAGGCAAAAACTGGGATCTGTAGCCACGTAACTTAAATCAGGCAGTGGTAAGCTGCCAGTCTGGCTTCTCTAGGGTAATGGTGAGTGACTCAAAGTGTTCTATCGGATCCTAAAGATGAGAGCCAGACTCACTAGAGAAATCGAAGGCTGAGGTATAACATTCCATTCCTTCTATCTCTATTCCTTTCTCCACATCCCACTCCCATGGGTACCTCCTGCTCCTGTGTAGTTATTACCACCACTCTGTAAGAAAAGAACATTGTGGGATATGGTGGCATCTAGGGGCCTTTCTGTCTCTCTTTCCCTTTCCCTTTTTCTGTTCAGTTCTGCCACTGCTCTTACACATTCGCCCTATTCTTTAACTATAATTAAGTCTATTGTGCTTTGTCTATGGGTTCACTGCAGAAGCAATAATATGACTGAACCCACAGAAAATGGAAAGTACACTATGTTATTAAAGCTGTGTCATCATTAGAGTATTTTTCTAAATTCTATATATAACTCAACATCATGTGGGGTTTTTTTATTGTATTTATTTTTGGTACTGGGGATCATACTTGGAACCTTGTGCTTGCAAAACAGGAGGTGGAACCACTAAGCTAAATCCTCAGCCCAACATCATGTGGTTTTATTTAGCTTCATGTTTAGCTTCAGATTATGACTTTCTTACATAGCATTTGTTTTTCCCAAAGTTTCTAATTTCCTTAGTATATGCATGTGAATTTGCATGTAGTTATTGAAAAAAATCTCTATTTTGTCAGTATTTCCAAGCTTTAAAATATTCATCACGTGTAATGAGCTAGATTTTCTTTTCAAAGATATTCTTCTGGAGTTTCACTTCCTGTTTTTATTTGACCTTATAGTTTTGTAAGCCTGTGACACCTATTGTTTCTTTCTATTATTTTCTATGATATTTTCCTAGTTTCTTGGATTCCATATCTCCATCTTTTTTGAATTTCTGCTTGGTTTGGAAGGAGTACATGCTCAACTAACTTTTCTCAGTAAAGGTCTATGTAGAGAAAAACTTTGTGAGTACCGAAGCTTTTTATTCTCAGATTTGCTTGATTGTGTGAAATATTTCTCTCTGTCTCTGTCTCTCTCTGTCTCTGTCTCTGTCGCTCTGTCTCTCTCTCTCTCTCTCTCTCTCTTCAGGGAATGTGTCTTGCCTGTCCTCTTGTGGGCTCCTTGACTGCCCTCCATGTTGGCTCCTCCTAGGCTGACCCTGTCTAACTACCTACAAGATATCTAATTAACTTACCTATCTGCAATATTCCTCCCTCTGAAGAAGCATCCCTAACGGCTGTGAGGGGGCAAAGGGCAAAGACCAGTCTGGCTACTTCCAGCTGAAGAGAGTCACAGTTGTGCTCAGCAGTTAAGAGTTACTCTACATCTATGTTCATTAGGAAGATTGGCCTGTCGTTCTCTTTTTTGGTTGGGTCTTTCCCTGGTTTTGGAATCAAAGAGCACCAGGCATTGTCATCTTGGTAGCTATATAGATGGCTTCAAGTCTGAAGGAGACAAAGCCAAGGAAACAGTTGTGAATACATGGGCCAAATTATGAGGTCACTAGGATTGCCTTGAACATAGCCAACAAGGGTTTCTTCCCTCACCTTAAGATGGCCCTAACTAGTGATGACCCAAGCCCCTCCTAGTGATGTCACAAGCTCCCCCAATCCTTAGCCATTAAATCATTCAATCCCACCCCAGCTCCTCTAAGCCCCATCCCAGTCCATTAAGAAGCGCTCCCTGTCTCAGCCATATTGCTCTCTCTCCTTTGTTCAGCGACAGCCCAGCAGACCCTCCCCATAATAAAGGCTTGTCATGGTCCTGGTCTGGTCCTGTTTTTTTGCTCTTTTTACCTAACATATCTGGTGCCAAAACCCAGGAGGAAGGCAGTTGATTAAGCGATGAACCCCCGTGGGCCAGGGTTGATTGGCCTTTCGACTGTCTCCTCGGGACCACATCCGCTGAGGCAGGACCTTCTCAAAACTTTCTACCTGTGCCAATTCTGGCAACTCACACCCTTACCAGTCACTGATTTCAAGGTGAGTATGTAGCTAGCTTCCCTCACTCGGGTCATCTGTCTCGTTCTCATTCTCTCCCTCTGGGGACTATGGTCAGAGAGACCCTCTTAGGCCACTGGGCCCAGGACCATGTCCCTGGGGGATGCCCCTTTGGCCGGAACTCCTCCTATTCTCCCCTTCTGGGGGCTGGCTTAGGGAGTATCAAAAGAGACAAAGACGGTCCTCTCTTTTGCTCTCCTCCTAGGGAGCTGACTACTTCTCACTCGCCCTAACATGGGTGACCAACAATCCAAACCCCCTTCCTCAACACCTCTTGGCTGCCTCCTGGCACAGCTTTGTCCTCTGGGACTGTTGGAACCCAACACTAAGCCAAAATGACCCATTTTTTACTGCAATCAAGTTTGCCCTCAGTACAAATTAGATAATAAATCTCACTGGCCTGAAAATGGCATTTTCAATTTTAACATACTGTGTGATTTACACAATTTTTGTCAACGCATTGGCAAATGGTCAGAATTCCCCTACATACAAGCTTTCTTTCTCACCCCTCCCTCTGTGAAACTTGTTCATCCTCTCAGGTACTTCTAGCCCAAACTCCACACCTCCCAACTCCCACCTTCGATCTGGCTGATCACTCACCACTCATACCTCCCCACTCTATAACCTGGCAAGCTCTTCTGTTTCCTTGCACTCTTACCTCCACCACCTTGTGATCATTTCTCTTCTCTGCCATCTTGTTTCTCTCCATCACACACCCATGCTCTCCCTGCTCTTCCTTTCCCAGCTTGCTTAGAAGAGAGAGGAAAGCAAGACTGAAAAAAAAAAAAACCAAAAAAAACCCAAAACAGTAAAATCCTTCCCTGGCCCTGCCTATTTACATATCAACGACTTGTTTGGCAGGCTACATTACCAAGAAATTCCATTGGACCCTATTGTTTTCTACATAAATAATTGGAAAATAAAATAAAAGGTTTTAAAACAATCCAAAGAAAATGTAATGCTTAAGATTGGAGCTCAAAGACCAAATGCGAGGTTACAGCCAGCTACAGACTGCTTGCTCCATAGTAGAATCAGCTGCAACGTCCTGCCAGACAGGAAAATCTTAAAAAAAAAATTATAAATTCTGGCTAATTGACAAAGGTACTTTTGGACTTCAACTTAAAATAATGTTTGTTTTCCAGATGTTTAATTAATGTATTTAAAATATTTCTTTTACGTTGCAAATTCTTAAATTGTAATTATGGATTAACTTGACTTTCTCTCTACTTTTTGCTTACAGACGTCTGACAATAACTAAAGATTATGCTACTGTTATAAAGTGCTTTTACTCCTTCTGATTCTAATTACAAGAGAGCTCTGTTAATTGACCTGTAAAAGTTTTGACTAGTCTTAATTAAAAGAAATGGTATAATTCAATTGGTCAGATATATTTGAGTGCACTTTAGTTTCATAAATTGTCTTACATGTTTGCCTGTGCCTGTCCAATTGTTTGAAAGTATTTGTCCAATTTTGTTTTTTGATCAAAATGACATCAATTATACAAATAAATTGTTAATTTCTACAACCTGGTTTTATAGGTTAAATTAAAAAATTGTCAAAATAATTAAATATAAACTTTTAGGTTTGGATAAGACTCCTGCTGGTGAATAAAGAAGCAGCTGCTTAGAAAAATTATTCTGTTCTTTGTTCACTAATGGGAGTCCCAATAATTTTCATAGCCTTATGGGAAGATATACCTCACTAAATATGTTGTTATAAAATGTTTACATTGGTTATCATCAAAGGGTTGAGTTCTAAATATGTTATTGTGATGTTTATAATGGTCATCTTCAAAATATAATATTTTCTGTGGAAAAACAAGGAGTTATTAAAAAGATCCTTTGGTACCAGGCTACACTATAGGACATAAGTTTTCATATAATTATAATAATTGTTACTACTACTTTTCTGGTGTACAAAATATATTCATGTTTTCTGTATACAGGTCTTCCAACATTGTTTATGACAATAACATTGTGATCCAGGTATTCGCCCTTCTCTTCTGCTCCATCTACTCATGATTATAGGTACAACTGTAGGCCCATACACATTCCTTAGATGGCATCCTATCAAAAGGAAATAACTTAAGTAAGAGTTTCTGTTTTTTTGTTTTTGTGTGTTTTTAGAGGAGAATAAATACATTTAACAATGGCTTTTTATTCTAAGATACATATCTAAGTTTGTTGCAAAGATAGTTATCATGATTGTTATGCTAAAATATTATCATTTTTATTATGTGTCACTCCTGATTCAAAGTTTTTTCTGTTAGTATTCTACAGGAAATCAACTACTAAACCAATCATGATTGATAAAAATAACAGTCCTCTAAGTATATTTTAGATTCCAGGGTGCTTGCTATCCAGATAAAGTTATGATTGTTAAGCTCACCAATCCTATTGTACTACTGATGTCACTGATCTTCTCTTCTGGGAGTCCAACCACCAAAGTGCAAATCAACTACAACCAATCATGATTGATAAAAATAACAGTCCTCTAAGTATATTTTAGATTCCAGGGTGCTTGCTATCCAGATAAAGTTATGATTGTTAAGCTCACCAATCCTATTGTACTACTGATGTCACTGATCTTCTCTTCTGGGAGTCCAACCACCAAAGTGCAGAGACCAACACCAAAAGGTAACTGGGCTAAGAAAACCACCAATATTTTGGCCCTGGCCCTTCAACATCATCAAAGATCCAAGGTATGAAGAAACCTTTTATATAACACGTTACATCTTTGATAAGTCACCCAACCTCCTGAGCAGGGAGATTGCTGGACACCAGAGGACAAATGTAATGATGCTAAAGGAGAGTCACCAGGAGAAAAAGTCTCCTATGCATTCACTGAAAGCAACTTGTTCAAGCAAGGCCCATGAACCATCCTAACAGCTGACACTGACAGGAGCTGAGAGGCTCTATGCATGGTTCTGAAATAATGCCTAAAGAAACTTAACAAACCTTGACAATAGCAAGATCTTCATATTGATTAACACAGGTCTCACTTTAACTTGGTCTTAAACACCCAACAGAAAAGAATAACCAAAATAGACAGTCAATGAACAGGCACTAGTGATAGACTTTTGAGGTCCACCACTCCACCTCCCTATAAAGGGATAGATCTCCAAGTAATAAACCAGATAATCCAGTCTCAAAAAATGTTACAACTCCTATTTAATACCACCCTCCACTAGCTCCCTGTCAATATCTCAGACTGTTGGATGTGTATGACTATTTACCCCTGCTCATTCACTCCAATTCCCATCCCCCTAGATTTTAACTTGTCTGTCTCAAATACTGGCAATTTATCCACAGTTCTGGGACCCTTTGCTATGGGTCTCCCATTCCCTACACAAACCACTAAACTGACATGCACAGGGCAAAAGGATAAGATCACTTGCCTTGCCTGCTCCCTCTTTATCTCAGAAGAGCATCTGATCTGCCTGTCCAATGGCCTGTACTTCATATGTAATCAATAGGCATTGCAATTGATGCCTCAATCATTCTGATGTTTTCTGTTACATATCCTTCCTTAGCCCTCCCGTGACTATTTACAGAGAAGCCCAGATGTCTAAACAAGTTCTCCCACAAACACAATCAGAAAAAGGGCAGCTTCCCTTGTAGTCCTCTTCTTAATGGGAGTGGAGGTCCTCCCTGGGATGGCGATGGGATAGTGGGCATTTCTACAACATTCACACATTTATATCAGGCCCTGTCCATAGAGATTTTGGAAGACATGGATAAAAAAAGCCAGTCCTTAAATACAGTTACAAGATCAAATAAATTCTCTAGCAGCAGTCATGTTACAAAATAGAAGGGGCTTTGACATGCTGACAGTGGCCCAAGGGGCAACATGCCTGGTGCTAGGTGAAGAATGCTGTTATTTTGTTAACCAGTCAGGGATTGTTAAAGCAAAGGTTAAAGAATTACAGCAGCTCATTGAAGAGTGAAAGACGATGGAATTCTTGGGGAATAGACAAAAGCTATTCCTGGCTTCCTCAAATTATGCCTTGCCTACTTCTCTTGTTGGGCCCCCTGGCTTATATATGTCTTTTAATCATGATAGGTACCTGTCTGTTTCACTGTTTTCAAAAATTTCTTACAGGAACGCATAAGGGCATTTACCAACCAGACAGTCACAGAACTCATCATGGCAGGGTATCCGCCACTGCGGCAGAGGGAAGAAGCCCCCATGAGATCAAGGTTTAGCCCTAACCTTCACCCCTTTGTCAGCTTGAAGCAGCTCCAGAAGAAGAGACCTTCCCGCAATAACCATAAAACAAAAGCCTGGAATGTTAGGTTTCCCTCACCTGGAGATGGCCCTAACTAATGATAACACAAGCCCCTCCTAGTGATGTCACAAGCTCCCCCAATCCCTTGCCACTACATCACTCAATCCCACCCCAGCTCCTATAAGCCCCACCCCAGTCCTATAAAAAGGACTCCCTGTCTCAGCCATGTGGCTTTCTTTCCTTTGTTCAGAGACAACCCAGCAGACCCTCCCCATATTAAAGGCATGTTATGGTACTAGTCTGGTCCTGGTGCAGGGCTCTTTTTACATAACAGGTGTACACCAAGAAATAGCAATGAGTATCAGTTATATCAAACCTTTTGTCCCTTAATATTGTTTGTACCAAGAGCATTTTAAATGAAAGCTTATTGTTTTCCACAGAAAACTTAGCTGTCTGACCATGACTAATGTATGCATATCACAATATTATGTAGCAAAGTATTTCCCACAAGATTATGGAAATAGATCTAAAAACATTATTACCCATATCTGTTAGAAAATTTAGCAGAGCACAGGTGTCTTAGCTAGAAAGCTCTTCTGAGGGGACACATAACACTCTACTATCTAAATATTGCAAGTCCATACTATTTTCTTTTATCAAATCAGGATCTAGGGACATCCTCATCTTTTTTTTCCTGATAGTTGAGAATTTAAATTAACAGAAGGGCTTAATTCTCATGTTTCTTAGACCTTCAAGAATACATGCCTGAAAATGTCTTCTATTTAATTTCCTATCAGATTGGCAGCCCAGTGGGGGTCTTGTATAGGAACTGTTTGTGTTCTAGTAGAAACCGGTTATTTCCCTGGCTGCCTGTCTTTTGAGCTTCTCTACATGTAGTAGCAGCTTGTAATACTGCTTGTCTCTCATTTGAAATCAATGTTTTGTTTATTTGTTTGGTTTTTTGAGACAGGGTCTCACTATGTAGTTGAGACTGACTTGGAATTCACTGTGTAGCCCAGGCTGGTCTCAAACTCACAGTGATCCTCCTGCCTCAGCCTCTTGAATGCTGGGATTATGGGCATGCATCACCATGCCCAGCTGAAATCAATGTTTAATTTAAGAGTAACATTGCATCTTTCTAATCTAGTCCATAGGTCTGAGTAAGTCCTCTAAAGACCTCAATGTACATATCAGAGTCATCTGAAAACTTTCTTAGGTCTCATTTAATCTGTCCTAGATCACTGATAGAAAAAGACACATGAACACAGGTAGTCTCGTGTTTACCATTTACTTCCTGGAAGGAATATTATCTTTGAGGGACCTGAACAACTTAGCTAAGGATGGATATATCCTCATAGAGGCTTTAATTACGGCTGGCATAAAAACTCCACCCTTTGTTCTCAGGTTTTAAAGGGCTAGGAGTAGCCTCAGGCCTTTAGAGGCACTGCATGTCTTAAGGGTGAGGTGTCTCTCATTTTTCTATGACCCACATTTACATTGGAG